CCTCAAGCTCGGCCACCACTCCAGCACACCAAGGCACCTCATCCTTGACCACCAGCCCTGCCCCAGGCTCGACCACCACTCCAGTCCGCAATGTCACCTCGGCCCCAGACACCACCCCTGCCTCAAGCTCGGCTGCTGCTCCAACACACAAGGGCACCTCTGCCAAGGCTACCACAACCCTAGTCAGCAAGGGCACTCCACCCTCAGTTCCCAGCCACCACTCTGATACTCCCACCACCTCTGCAAGCTATAGTACCAGGACTGTTGCCAGTAGCACTAACCATAGCATAGTACCTCCCACATCCTCCAATCATAAGACCTCTCCTCCTAGGATTTCCTTCTTCATCCTGTCTTTTTACATTTCGAACCTCCAGTTTAACTCTTCCCTGGAAGATCCCAGCACCAGCTACTACCGGGAGCTGCAGAGAAACATTTCTGAATTGGTAAGTATCTGCCTTTCCTCCACCATGCTCCCCTGAAGCAGACTTCAGAGCTGCTCGAACCCTTGCATCAAGCCTTAGTTCTCTCCCTCTCACTCTAGCTTTTGCAGATTTATACACAAGAGGATTTTGTGGGCCTTTCTGCTATCCAGTTCAGGTACAGTCCCGGGTGTGGACTCTGTGGAGGGTGGGTGGATGTTGTCATGACTGTGGAGAGGGACTGGTGCATTGGTGGTTGGGGGGGAAGTGCTGACCCAGAAGCTGGGACCCGTGCCTGAATTGCCCATTTCCCTGTGACTAGCCCAGGATCTGTGGTGGTAGAATCAATTCTGGCATTCCAAGAGGGTACCACCGATGCCCAGAGTGTGAGGACACAGTTTGCTGAGAAGCAAGCAGCAGAAGCAGCCAGATATAACCTGTCCATCTCAAGCGTTAGTGGTGAGCCCATCTCCCCAGCTGCAGGCCAGCAACGCACCACCAGGTCCCCTCTTTCCAGCATCTGGGTTCCTGCTCTTCCCCTTGGTGCTAGGAGGGGGAGGGTCGCCTCCTCTGGGAGACTGCCGTGACCACTGCTTTTCCTTTTAGTGAATGCTGGGTCATTTCCTTCCTCTGCCCAGCCTGGGTCTGGGGTACCTGGCTGGGGTATCGCCCTGCTGGTGCTGGTCTGTGTTCTGGTCGCCCTGGCCATCGTCTATTTCATTGCCCTGGTAAGTGCTCAGTCTCCAGCCTTGACCAGAGTTCCCCTCCTAGAAGGAACTCCACGGCCCCCCATAAACTGCTGTCTCCTCAGGCCGTGTGTCAGTGCCGCCGAAAGAACTATGGGCAGCTGGACATCTTTCCAACCCGCGACGCTTACCATCCTATGAGCGAGTACCCCACCTACCACACCCATGGGCGCTATGTGCCCCCTGGCAGTACCAGACGTAGCCCCTATGAGGAGGTGAAGATGGGCCCCACAGGCAGAGGGAGGCAGAGGCTTTGGCTGGGCAGGGGTTCTGAAACGGTACTTGGAAAGCCCAGAGAACTTAGAAGAGGTGAGAGGTGGCATGAAGTAAGCAGTGGAGGGCCTGGCAAGGATGGGGGTGGAGGTCAGAGGAGTTCTGGGGGAAAGACCTGGGGAGCAGACCACAGAAGAAAGGGCACCTCAAGAGGGAGTGTCCCTACTACCAGCATTTCCAAAACAGCAGTCCCTGCTCCGCTGACCTGGCGCCATGGCGGCTCGCTGGGATGCCCAGAGGTGAAATGGGTGGGGCACGGTGCCCAGGGGAGCCCTCACGCAGGACTCACAAGGAATGAGCACCTGTGCCCCCACTAGAGTTCTAAGAATGGAGGGTAGATTGACAGGCTGGCAGGAGGGGGGTCTCTGATGTGGAGGAAGAAGTCCCACCAAACCAGGTGAGTCCGGGTGCTGGTGGGGTTCTAGGAGTCTCCAGGAAGCAAGGACCCCTCCTCCCTCTTTCCTCTCCAGCTCTTTCTCTCTAGGACCTAGTCAATAATTACTTGGGCCACCTGGGGCTGGAACGCCACTCCAGGTGGGGGAGGGAGGAGTTTCCTTTAACTGACCCTGTTTTTCCTGCGCCTGGGGACTTCCTTCTCCCAGTTTTACGCGGGTGCACATGCACCTCCTTGGGCTGGGGGAGCAGAGAATGGAGGGAGAAAGGTGCAGGAGGGGAGGGCAAGGGGGCTGATTAGAGCTAAGGGGAGGGAGTGAAGGGGAGCCGAGGGAGGAGGAGCGGCCCCTGTTTACAGTCACCTGGCTGCTGGTGGTGCCCAGCAGGTGCTCTCTCCGAATTAACCCTTTGAGAGCTAGTCAGCCTCCTGGACCTGTTACCACAGCCTGGGGTACCTTCCAGGGGCCCTGGGGAGGTAGCTTCTCCCAGGAAAGCTTCTGCCCCTCACCCTGGATCCCGTTTCTTCCCACCTAGGTTTCTGCAGGCAACGGTGGCAGCAGCCTCTCTTACACGAACACAGCAGCCACTTCTGCCAACTTGTAGGGGCACATTGCCTACTAAGCGTCTGTCCAGCCAGTGCCAGTTGCCTCCCTCAGGTTCTTCACTACCAGAACCAACCCCCCTGCCCCGCCCCCACCTCCACACCCCCCACCCCCCTGTTCCCCCGGACCTTGAGCTGGTGAACTAGAAGTTCCGGTGGGCTGACACAGCCTCCCTCCCAGGTCCCACCAAGTCCCCTAACTCATCTTAGCTCTGGTGAAGCCCATCAGAGCCCCTGCAGACACGCCTGGGGCAGTGGCTCCCAGGAAGACTGTTCCAGGGAAAGCCCCGAGATGTGAGTGGGAGCCTGAACATGGCTGAATAAAACGTGGGCCTCCTCTGCCCTGACCACCACCTTCTGATCCTTCATCTGTGACTTGTAGATAGGAGGGGCAGTCAGAATGTGTGTGTGAGGGGGTCTGGAAGGGGCCTTTGGGGGAGGAGACAGGGAGGAAAGAGGGCGAGAAGGAGCAGAGTTCATTTGAGGAGCAGGAGGCGTGGAGGGATGACACAGGGGCGCAGGAGTGGCTGGCGGAAGAACTAGAGTCACCTCTCCCCCATCGCTGGCTGCACAGGAGGAAGGAGGAAACGAAACCCAGGCGGGCTCTGGCAGCCCGCTGGCATGACTCGGCTCCACCTACATGCCCGCCCGTGGCTCTCCCATCTCCTCCGGCCTGGGTTTCATTCTGGCTGGGGGCTGGCAGCTGAGGCCCGCGCCCTCCTCTCCCCTTGGCACGGTGCCCCAGGCGGCTCTATTCTTAGCTGCTCGGGTGTGAGGCAAGTCCTCAGGCAGCGATAAGAGCCGCAGAGTCAACAGGGCTGAGATAAGTGCCCGTGTCAGATCCGGGAACTGGCGCCAGGCCCGGCCCCCTCCCTGGCCCCTGGCGGCCCCCTAGGCCCGCTGGCTCTGGGGTCTGCTTCCCCACACCCTGGAATGGGGAAGTAGTTCTGGTTCCCTGACCTCTTTGGGCCCAGGCATGGTGCCCGCCCCCTCAACCACATTCCCTTGGGACCTGGGCACCGCCACCAGGTAGCCGGTGGAGGGGTTGAAGCCAGCAGCCACCAGAGCGATGCGTCCCCTGGCGGCCATGGTCAGCTCCGGCCTGTGCTGGGTACAAATGTGGCAGGAGGCGCAAATGTGACTTCTTCCCTCAGGCGCCAGATCCACCGGGCACCCCTGTTCTGAGCAATAGCAGAGCACCCTGGATCCCTCCTACCTGCCATGTCCAGCACAGAAACTAAGAGAAATGGTCAGGCTCAGGGAAGGCAGAGATGTGCCTGCCATCACAGTTTATTGTTTATAAACCATGAAAATAACAGTTGTTGTTTGGCACAGGCCTAGCAGTGCCCACCGCAGGGGGGCAACAGCAGGCACCAGAGGCCTTGCCTGGCCCAACCCAACGGGGACACCCAACCTCAGCTGGGACCCCAAGGGAGACTTGGCACGTTGGCATGGGTGCATGGATGTGGGGCAGGTAAAGCATGCAAAAGGGAGAAGGGGACATAAGAGGCATGCGGCTGAGGGGTTTGGGGACCCAAATAAATAAAGCAGGATGATAGGGTCCCCTTCCCCTCACCAGGGAGTGCCTGGGCAGTGTCCAGCCAAAAAGGCTGCCCGCTCCAAGGCTGTAGTTCAGCATCAATGGGGCAGGGAGATTGGCAGGGCAGAGAGCAGAGCTGGGGATCATGCCCAGTGTTCCAGGTGCCTTCCCTCCCAATCAGCCTGGGGAGAAGCACAGGACAGGGATGGGGAAGGGGCTCTCTCCATGACTTGGGTAAGATGCCAAGGGCAGAGACTCGGTGTGGGTGGGAGCCTGGATTAACAGGCAATGGCGAGAATGGGGGACATCCAGAGACGTGAGCAGAGGAGAGTCCCTTGGTCAAGAGAAGGCCCTGGGAAGACACAGACATAGGGTAAGGGACAGGACCACATGGTAGGAAGAGTTTGGGGGAGAAGCTGCCGGAGGAATAACCCGGCTCTAGGAGGCTTGAGGGGCCAGGGCCCAGGAGGGGCCTGAAAGAGTCAGTCCAGCTTGGCGAAGCCCCCAATGGTGACCTTCCTCTCAGGCTTAGTGCCCACGGGCTCTTGTAGCTGTACTGCCCCACCCCCGATGAAGCAAAAGGCAGGGCACACAGGCCCCGAGCAGTCCAAGGGGCACTCCAGGAGGCCGCGGAAGGACACAGCATCCAGGAAGGAAACCCGGCCCCGCTCGTAGTCCAGGCAGATGCCCAGGCGGGGCGGCAGGGGCACTGTGCAGCTGGCCGCTGGGCCATCCCTCCCTGTCAGCCCTGCATTGGAGTTGGCCCCAGACCCCAGCAGGATCTTGCCCATGCCGATGGTTAGGAAAGCGAAGGGTGGCGACGCCTCCACTGTGGCATCCTCAGCACCGCTGTCGTGTCCACTGTCCGGGTCATACCTGCAGAAGCGGGCATTGGGCAGGAGGAAGTTGGGGGATGGAGTAAGGGAGTGGGGGGTGGGGTATCAGAGGGCTGAGATGTTGGAAGGATGGAATGTTGAGGAGCAAGTAGTTGAAAGGACTGATGTGGGTATTGAGGAGAAAACATGTTGAAGAGGCAGGGGTTAGAATATAGGGTTGGGAGTTTGGTTTGGTGGGAAAAGGGTACTGAGAGGAAAGCACATTGGCAAGAGAGGCGTTGGGAGGAAAAGTAAAGACAAGGTATTGATAAAGCAGACTGAAGAAATGCGGCCCTTAGCAAGATGGGAAGGTGGTGAGAAAAAATGGTGTTGGAGATATCATGCTGGGAGAGGGTTTTGAGGGTTAGAGAATGTTGGAAGAATGAGGGGTTAGTGACTGAGCAGAGAAAGGATGTTGGGAAGGCGGATGTTGGGAGAGAGATGAGGGGGATGGGTGTCATAGATGAAGGATGTTAGAGGGATGCAGGCTTGGGGAAGATAGGGTTTAGGAGGAATTGGTGTTGGAGAGAAAGCATTTTGAAGAAATGGGGTGTTGGGGGATAGAGTGCTGGGGAGAAGGGGTTGAGGGAGAAAAGCATGTGTGGGAGGGTGTTAAATAGAATGTCGGGGATAAGAGGGTATGGAGATAGAAAGTTTAAGGGAAGAATTTTAGGATGCTGAGAAAAGATGTGGGTGAAGGAGGTGTTGGAGAGAAAAGGTTTTATGGAGAAAGGATGCTGGAAACGGGATATTAGGGAAAAAGGACGCAGAGGCTTGGAGAGATGGTGTACTGAGTGACGGATGGAAGGAAGCAGAGATGGCTCCCTCTTCTATCATCTCTTTCCCCACCCACACACTCCGAAAATCAATCCTCAAAGCCCTTACGCTGAGCCCACATTTCCTCTGACCACAAGCCCGCCAGCCTGGCTTCCATGCTCCTACTGCTTCCTCCCAATCTCCTTCCTGCTCCACCCCAGCAAGTCTGTGCTCCCCTCATCCTGTCCCCAGCTCCCCCACCCAGGGCCCCCACCCCCCTTTCCTTCCAGAGAGGCCTGACCTGGGGCTGATCACATCAGGGGCGCCCTGGAAGCTTTCCTGAAGCTTGCTCTCCAGCCCGACGCCCACCTTGACCAAGTAGGAGGCTGGGTCCACCGCGCAGGCCCAGTAGCTGCGGCCCTGGGTCACAGCCACATCGCCCAGGACCACATCCACGCTCAGGTGGCAGCCAGTCAGCAGCCGTTCAGCAGCCAGCAGCAGGGGCAGCCCTGGAACACTCCGCACTGCTCGCTGGTCCTTGCTGATGGCCAGCCGCTCTCGGCTTGTGCCCCAGCGGCCATCGAGGAAGAAGTGCAGGACTGGAGTGGGGGAAGGTTGAGACAGAAGGAAGGACTTCAGGGACAAACACTGGCACTGGGGACTGTGAGATGTTAGCACAAGACGCTGGGAGATTTCAGAACATGGAACAAGTTGCCAAGGAATGGGCAGGGGGCTCTGAGGAACAGGGCCTGGAGAACTGGAATGGGGGCATAAGGAAAACAGACGGGGCATCCCAAATGGGCATGGGACCCCAGGAGAAACTTCAGTGATGATTAGTGGGCACAGAAACCAGTCTCCCAGGCCCACTGGACTCACAGTGCTTCCTCCAACCCTTTTCCCATGCTGGCCCCATGGACAGTCCCTGCTGTTCTGTTCCACCTGGTGACATTCCCACCACCATCTACCCACACCTTCCAGCCTACACTCTGGTGCTCACACCTGGTCCTTACACCCAACCCCTACCTCTTTTGCCCCCTACTTGGGTGGTGATGCTCCTCTGTTATGCTTACATCCCAGATCCACACTATTTTTTGGAGAGTCACTTTACTGACATTTATTGAGCCCTTACTAGGAGCCAGAAACTCTGTTATAACGTTACATGTATCATCTCAATTCTCACAGCAACCCTACGAGGTAAGGATTGTTATTATCCCTACAGAAGAGGAACTTGAAGTTCAGAGAGGGCAAATAACTTGCCCAAAGCCACACAGTTGGCAAGAGGCAGAGCTACGATTTGAACCCAGGCAGTCTAGCCCCAGAGCTAGTGAGCGTGACCCACTGTGTTATACTGTCTCTCCAGCGCCCGCCCAGCACCAGCTGTTAGTGACTGTCCCAGCATGCCCTGTGCCCTTCGCATGCCACACGTGCCCACCCATCTGCCCGCTCACCAGGTGCCGGGGGCGTGTGCAGGTGCACATCTTCACTGTACTCGCCATAGCCGGCCTTGTTGCAGCCACGGACACGCAGCACGTACACAGAGCCTGTGTCAGGGTTCTCGAGCAGGGCGCTGGTGCCCCTCACCTCCTCCCGCCGCTGCCAGCGGGTGGGACCCGGCTGGGCAGGCACATCCGTGCGCCGGAACTCAATGGTGTAGTGCCAGGCAGGTGGTGAGTGGGGGGGCAGCCGCCAGCATAGGAAGATCTGGTCGTAGGCAAAGGTGCGCTGGGTGTCAATGACGGGAGCCTCAGGCACTGTTGGAAGAGATAGCGGGAATCAGTCAGGGCCTGGCCGCTGGCCTGGCATGGGGGGCAGGCAGGAGAAGGGAAAGCAGCGGGAGCCGGGGGGGTGAGTGCGGGTGAGAGGGAACTGGAAAAAGACCCGTCTGGGCCCCGGGCAGGGATGGGCAGGGCAGAGCTCAGGGAGAAGGAG